AACTCAAATTTTTAATATAGTAGATTTTATGGTAGTTCGTTCTTAAGTACAAGTTGTCTGTAAGTCCAACGTTCTTAGTCTGGGGACTTAATGTAATGGCTTTACAGCAGTCCATTCTTAAGTACAAGTTGTAAGTTAAATGTTCATAATCTGGAGACTGTATGTAATTTAAAAGTATTGAAATCATACAAAGTATGTGCTCTGATCCAAACATATTAAACAGAAATCAGTATCCATACAATTTCAGGAAAGTCCTCAAATATTTGGAAGTAAACCCCCGAGACTATGGCCCACAGACACGCTGCTAACTCAGAACTGAAGACACTCCCAAAGTCCACCTTTCAGTCAAAGATTAGACAGGCCTACAAAACACATGTGAGGAAGATGTTTCTTAGTTCAATCAAATATATGAGACCAAATGGGCAACACCTGCCCAAATAAAAAACAAGTATGGAGGAAGGGACAGGAAAACAGGACAAATGGACACAGGGAGCCTGGAGTGGAAATGGAAAGGGGGAGACTGCAGACACATTGCAGGGATTGCAACCAAGGTCAGAAAGCAATTTGTGTATAAATTTTTGAATGAGAAACTAATTTGCGCTGTAAACTTTCACCTAAAACACAGTAAAATTAAAAAAAAAAAAAAAAACAGAGATAGAAATTATATCAGAGAAACAAAAAGAAATTTTGGGGCTGAAAAGTACAATAGCTGAAATTAAAAATTCACTAGAAGGGTTCAAGAGCAGATTTGAGAAGGCAGAAGAAAGAAAGAGCGAACTTAAAGATTAGCAGACGAACTCTTAACCACTGTGCAAAAACAGGGCTCTAAATTTGAAGACAGGACAATGTAAATTATTCAGCTTGAGGAGTGGAATAAAAAAAATTTTTTTTTTAAAATGACCAAAGCCCAAGGGACACAGGTATAACATTAAACATATCAACATATGCATATTGGATTCCCAGAAGGGGAAGAGAGGGAGAAATGGACAGAAAGAATATTTGAAGAATAAAGGCTGAAAACTTTCCAAACTTGATGAAAGAAACAAATCTAAACATCCAAGAAACTCAACAATTCCAAGTAGGATAACCTCAAAAAGATCTACACCAAGGCACATTAAAATGAAACTTTCAAAGGACAAAGACAGAATCATGAAAGCAACAAGACAGAAGTTACTCATGTTTAAGGGATACTCAATAAGATTAACACTCAATTTACCATTAGTCAGAAACCACGGAGGCCAGAGAAGAGTGGGATAACATTTAAAGTTCTGAAAGAATAAAACTGTCAACCAAGAACGCTATATCCCAGAAAACTACCTCTCAACAATGAGAAAGACATTAAGACATTCCCAGATAAACAAAAGCTGAAGGAGTTCGTCACCAGTAGACCTCCCAACAAGAAATGCTAAAGGGAGTCCCCCAGGCTGAATTAAAAGGACACTAGAAAATAAGGCAAAATCATATAAAGAACTCCAGTAACTACTGTTGTTCAGATGCAGACACCAAACTTGAAAATAAAATGAGTTTTCATAACAAAATACATATCTATATATTTGGAAATTAAACAGACAACTAAATAACTCAGAGTTCTAAGAAATCACACACACAAAATTTAGAAAATGATTTCACCTAAATGATAATGAAAAGAAACACCAAAATTTTTGGAATGCAGATAAAGCAATACTCAGAGGGAAATTTATACATTAAATACTTACATTTAAAACAAATAAAATTACGTGAGTACAAGATCTATGCATTCACCTTAAGAACCTACAATAAGAACAAATTAAACCCAAAGTAAAAAGGAAGGAAATAATGGAAATTAAGACTAGAAGTCATTGAAATAAAAAATGGACAAACAATACAGTATAATTAATAATATCAAAAGCAAGTTCTTTGAAACAATCAATAAAATCAATACACTTTTATCTACAGTGATTAAAAGAAAAAAATATATAAATTACCAGCATCAGGCATGGTAATTACATTACAGAGCTTACAGATATTAAAACTGTCTATTAAAGAAATCAAATTGTTAAACAAAAATCTCCCTACAAAAGAAAACTTGAGGTCCACATGGCTTCAATAGTGAATTCTATCAGACATTGAAACAAGAAAGAATGCCAGTACTTCACAAACTCTTCCAAAAAACAGATGAGGGGGGCCAACTCATTCTATGAGACCAATATCACCCTCATACTCAAACCAGACAAAGACCAATAAAAGAACAGTCCTTATGAATATCCATATATATATATATCTTATAAATATAAATGAAAAAATTCCAAACAAAATATAAGCAACCTGAATTCAGCAAAATATGGCAAATCCCATGACCAAGTGTGACTTTTCCTAGGATTGGAAGACCAGTTTAACATATGAAAATCAATCAATGTGATACACTGTATTAGTGGGATAAAGAACAAAAACTGCATGGTCATCACTTAAATACAGAAAAAGTAAATGACTAAATCCAACATCTCTTCATGTTAAAACACTCAAACTTCCAGAACCTCTTCAACCTGATAAAGGCCATCCTTAAAAAACCCACAGCTAAAATTAAACTTACAAGCAAAAGACTTGCTCATCAACAGATGAATGGATAACAAACTACAGTACATACACAAAATGGAATACTAACCAACAATAAAGAACAATGATGAACCTGCATCTCACAAATCTGCATCTCACAACATGGATAAATATGCAGGGCAATATGCTGAGTGAAATAAGTCAATCACAAAAGGAAAAATATTGCATGAGTCCACTGCTATAAAAACTCCTGAAAAGGTTTACACACAAAGAGAAACAATCTTTGATGGTTAAGAGGGAGGGGCGGGGATGGAAAAACACTACACAGACAATAGATAAGTGGTAATTTTGGTGAAGGGTAAGACAGTACACAATACTGGGGAAGCCAGCATAACCTGTATACGGCAAGGTTATGGAAGCTCCACAGACACATCCAAACTCCCTGATGGACAGAATTGCTGGGCTGAGGGCTATGGGGACCGTGGTCTCGGGGAACATCTAGCTCAATTGGCATAACATAGTTTATAAAGAAAATGTTCTACATTCTACTTTG